ATAGCCGCCCCCCGCCCCCTGCTGGGGCCAAGCCCCCAGATTCATTCCCACTCATCCCATCCAGCCTCTTGTGTTTCTGTCACTCTCGTGGTCCCTCTCCTCCCACGGCCCCACCCCTCCTGCTTTGTACCCTGCCCGCACCCCCCCCCCCCCCACCCAGCCCCCCAAGCAAATTTTTCCAAGGGCTCATGTGCGGGTGGTGAGGGGTATAACCTTGGCCGATCTATAGGAAAAGAGTATTTCCCTATAAGGCTTGTGGCGGGGGTAGAGGGGTGTAGCCCTCAAAAGCCAGCGTGGGAGGGGCATGCTTCCTGACCAGGGCCGTGGGCAAGGCAGCTCCTGAGCCCACCACCCCCAGTTTGTCCGGGACCACCGCGTCCCCCTCCTTGGGGCGGAGCTGCAAGTCCCCTCTGCCCCGCAGAAGGATCCAGAGAACGTGGATTATGAGGATCTCTTCCTTTACTCCAATGCATTGACTGAGGAAGTCACCAGCCCCACCCATGGCCCCAGCAAGCATCAGAACCCTTCCTCCTGTTCCACGGTTGCACCTGAGGAGGTATGTGACAGAAAGCTGGCATCTCCCACACGGGAGGGGCAGGAGCAGCGGTGGCCAACAGCTCCCAGAGGAGACTTTCTAGAGCGACAATTAGATCCTATAGCTCCAACTAAAGAAGCTTCCGGTGATTTTGCAGGACCCTGCAACTAAAATCCCGGCCCAGTTCCAGCCCCTCTGCTATCCCTTCTGCTGTTCAGACACATCAGGCTAACCTCGGGGACTTTGCATGTGCTGGTCCCACCCCAAGACCTTTGCACATGTTGGTGGCACCCACCCCAGGGCCTTTGCACATGCTGTGTGCACTCTGCCCCCAGATTTCCTATGCCCGGCTTCTTTCTTCAATTCCTCAAGTGTCTCCCTCCCCAGCTCCAGGCTGAAAGTAATCCTCTCTTCATTTGCCATCCCATCACCCTGTTTACGCGCTGCGGAGCACTCCTCACGATATACAACGTCTTGTTTATTTGTTGGCTTTCATGTTTCCTGTCTGCCTTCCCTATCAGACTGTGAGCTCTGAGAGACCTGGGAATCTGGCTGGCTGGCTTGTCCACCCTGTCTCATGCATATGCCTAAGTGCTCCACTAATGGATCTGTAGAGTAGGTGAATGAATAAGTGAACGAATCCCATCTCCTCAGGGCTGATTGGACCCTCAGGAGCCCCTAACCCCCCACACAGCAGGGAAATTCCAGCAGCAGTGGAAATCAAACAGGCCAGTGCGATGAACATCAGCGGGTGTGGGGCTAAAGTGTGAAGGGAGCAGTCAGGGAAGACCTCCCAGAGGAGATGGCATAGGGCTGGGACATGCAGGGTAAGGAGGAGTCAGCCACACACCAAGATGCAGGGAGGGTGTTTCAGGCAGGGAAGAGAGCACATGCAAAGGTCCTGAGGCTCTGTATGTTTGGAAAACAAAAGAACAACAAAAGCCAGTGTGCGGATGGAGTGCGGTGAGTGCAGAGGAGGTCACCGGGAAGTAAGGGGCCCGGATCAGGAGGAGACAATCACGCAGGACCTCGGGGCCAGGGTGAGGACATGGGGTTCTTCTATTCCAGGTGTGCCGGGGGACCCGCCATGGGAGAGCCTGTGGCTGCCAGCTGCAGAAGGGGGTGCCTGGGGGCAATGGTAGAGGTGGCAGGAAGGAGGCAGGGACTGTCCCGGTGGGAGGGACCGGAAAAAAGATCTCTAGGGGTGGAACGAGAAGATACTTGGGACATTTTGGAAGGGAGCTTGCCGATGCCTTGGAGGGGGAGGGGGAGGGGGAGGAGAAGCTGGACGTTGTCGTGGTTTGAGTCCCTGGGCCCTCCATTGTTTGGGAGGTGATCCCAGGAAGTACCACGGGGGGAGCCAATGAAGGGCGTCTTAGCGAACAGGTTCCCCTGTAGGCAACCAGGGCTCAGTCTCCCGGGGAAGTCTGGGACTCTGCGTGGAACTGGGCACTTCGTCATCCCACCCTAGGGGTGAGGAGCTGGGGTATTGATCCTCCAGCTTCCAGTAGCCACTGGTCAAGCGCTGTTCCTGGGAGAGTTTAATTCTCTGGCACTTGTGGCCTGCCGGTGTGGCCAAGGAATGACCCCAAGCAGAGTCCCCACTGCTGGCATTTGGGAGCGGAGCTGGGGGCGCCTGCGTGCCCAGGGCAGAGGGATATGGATGCGGCATTGTCGGCCATCTGCCACAAACGTCACCTGGTTTTGGCCTGAACAGCCGGGTAGATCAGGGGTCAGCAAACCAGGGCCCGAGGACCACATCTGGCCAGTTTCCGTATGGCCCTGCGTCCCGGTGGCCCACGAGCTGAGCGTGGCTTTCATGTTTTCGAAGAGTGTTGAAACAATTAAAACTAAAGTAATATCTCATGCGATATTATTTTGTGAAAGTCGGACGAAAGCCAAATTTCCACGTCCATACGGTTTTCCTGGAGCGGGGGCACACGTTCTGGTCGATGTGCTATCCCTGGCCGCTTTGCTCCGCGACAGCAGAGCTGGGGAATGAGACAGAGGCCGTATGACCCACGAACCTGAAAACGTTTGCCCTCTGGCCCCTTATGGCAAAAGTTTGCCAATCCCTGGGGGCGGGGGGGGGCGGGGGGGTGGATAGTGAAGCTGGTTATGGGGATGGGAGAGATGGGGCATGGGGTCAGGCTTGGGTTCACCTGGGGTCCTTCTCAGCCCCAAGATGCCTGAGTGGGACCCGTGTCCCAACCTCCAGGGCAGATTCAGAGGTTTGGCGGGCGGGATGGCCCCAGGTCTCACCTGCGCTTGGTTTCAGACCTCAGGAAGGCCCATCCTGCTCCATCGGCCAAAGGGAAGGAGGCCATCGGCAAAGGCAAGCAGAGACCCCAAGGAGGAGGCCACTTCCTCCTGCCCCCCGAAAGCCCCCCTTGAGGAGGCCTGCCAGAAACTCTGGAGAAACTTCAGGATGCTCCCCGAGACAGGCAAGAGGTTCCAGCAGCAGCTGAAATCCCACTCGGCACCTGTGAACTTGTCATCGCTCTGGAATGCTGGGCCACCGGCACTGGCACACAGCTCAGGGGCCAGGCCAGGTGACACACACTGGGAAGGCGACGTCTCCACAGCCCGCTTTGCGGCCACGTCCCTCACAAGTCCCGCACAGTCCCAGGATCTGAGAGATGGAGGTGACCCCTCCGGGAAGGCCTCAAGATTGGCCAGCGGGAGCAAGGTGACCCCGAGGGTCAGGAGTTGGCACCGAGTGGTAATGAGGGCCCTGTCCTCAAAAGCATCCAAACCGGAGACAGAAGGGTTGGCAGAAGCCCAGAGGGACTGGCTCCCTGAAGAGTACCTCACGCCGCCACCCTTTGCCCCTGGGTACTGTTAGAGCTTTGCCCTGGCTCTGGGACCCTTGCTGCAGGGGCTGCTCACACCGGACCCCTGGTTGTCTGCCCACCAGCCCGCAGGAACCTGAAAAATGTAATAAAGGCATTGCTTGGGTCCGGCCCTGCCGTTGCCAGTGGGGTGACCTGGTTACTCGAATAGTAATTATCAGTTACAGCCGGGGGCACAGTAGGTGCCAAGTTCATGATTTCTTTTACACCCCCAAGCAGACCCAGCAGGTAGGCTCATGCTGCACACTTTAAAGAGGAGACTAAGGGTCCAAGAGGAGGAGAGGCGAGGCCAAGGTCACCCAGCTACAGGGTGTGAGCACCTGGATTGGAAAGCTGGTCAGGTGGCGCCCTTTCCCCACGTCCCCTGCGCGTGGCTCAATTCCAAGTACGTCCTCGCCTGTAAATGGAGCTGCTCACTCCTTCCTCCTGGGGTTCCCTGCCGATGAAGGAGGTGAGACTTGCAGAGGGCTTGGCCCACAGTGCAGACATCGACATCAGCTCTAGGGGAAGCTTACGAGCCTCTTTCCTTTAAAGGAGGAGAGGAAGCCCGGGGTTGTGGCTGGTGGCGAGCTCCGGAGAGGGTCCCAGGTCACAGGGCTGCGTGACCTCTGGCAAGTCACTAGACCTCTCTGGGCCTGCGGGCTCATCTGGAAAATGGGGAGAGGCGCAAGCAGTCCCTCATTCTCAGGATGAACCAGCAGGATGCACAAGAAAGCTGAGACTTTGGCTCACGGAAGGTGCTTAGTAGGTGGAGGTTGGAGAGTGGGAGTGGGGTCTAGAAATGATGCACGTGGAAGGTCCCTGGGGGCGAGTCTCGATTGCAGGAATGAGCACTCTCTGGACTGACTGGGGCTATCGATGGGGCCCCAGGGCGACCACAAGTGGAGTGAGTGTGGGGCTTCTCAAATCTGCAAAGCGTAGGTGTCTGGGATCTGGGCACAGGTGGACCTGGGTTCAAGGCTGCCTTTGCAGACAACTTGAGGTGTGGCCTTGGGCAGATCACTCTGTTCCCTGAATGAAGGGTGACTGCTTCTCGGTCAGCCCCGCTGGGATGTCATAGGCAGCCGGTGCAATGGCAGAGAGACAGGTGCCTCGTAAACTGTAAAGTACGGTGCCAGCCTCAGTGAATGACGTTGCTGCGCGCCCCCCCCCCCCCCCCCCCCCCCCCCCCCCCCCCCC